CCTGGGAGGTCATCTAGTCCAGCCCCCTGCTCCAGCAGGAGACCCTGACAGAATCATAGACGGACACAGTTGGAAGGGACCTGGGAGGTCATCTAGTCCAGCCCCCTGCTCAAGCAGGAGACCCTGACAGAATCACAGAAGGACAGAGTTGGAAGGGACCCTGGAGGTCATCTAGTCCAACCCCCTGCTCCAGCAGGAGGCCCTGACAGAATCATAGACGGACACAGTTGGAAGGGACCTGGGAGGTCATCTAGTCCAGCCCCCTGCTCAAGCAGGAGACCCTGACAGAATCACAGAAAGACAGAGTTGGAAGGGACCCTGGAGGTCATCTAGTCCAACCCCCTGCTCCAGCAGGAGACCCTGACAGAATCATAGACGGACACAGTTGGAAGGGACCTGGGAGGTCATCTAGTCCAGCCCTCTGCTCAAGCAGGAGACCCTGACAGAATCACAGAAGGACAGAGTTGGAAGGGACCCTGGAGGTCATCTAGTCCAACCCCCTGCTCCAGCAGGAGGCCCTGACAGAATCATAGAAAGACATAGTTGGAAGGGACCGTGGAGGTCATCTAGTCCAACCCCGTGGTCAACAAGGAGACTGCTATAAAATTACGCAGAATGGCGGCGTCGGAAGGGACCTTGAAGCTCTTCCAGTCCATCTTTTTTGCTCAAGCAGGAGACCCTTCCAGAATCTCACAGAATGGATAGAGTTGGAAGGGACCCTGGAGGTCATCTAGTCCCACCGCCTCCTCAAGCAGGAGACTCTGACAGAATCATAGAAAGACAGAGTTGGAAGGGACCCTGGAGGTCATCTAGTCCAACCCCCTGCTCAGGAATCGTAGAAAGACAGAGCTGGAAGGGGACCGTGGAGGTCATCTAGTCCAACCCGTGGTCAAGAAAGAGACCGCTATAAAATTACGCAGAATGGCGGCGGCGGAAGGGACAAAATCGTATAGGGTTTCCTGCCTGAGCAGGGGGTTGGACTAGATGACCTCCAAGGTCCCTTCCAACTTTATTATTATGATTATGATTATTATGATTATTAGACTGGACAGCCATTTGACTGAAATGGTATAGGGTTTTCTGCCTGAGCAGGGGGGTTGGACTAGATGACCTCCAAAGTCCCTTCCAACTTCATTGTTGTTGTTGTTGTTGTTGTTGTTGTTGTTATTATTATTATTATTATTATTATTATTATTATTATTATTATTATTATTATTATGAAGAGACTGGACAGCCATTTGTCCGAAATGGTATAGGGCTTCCTGCCTGAGCAGGGGGTTGGACTAGATGACCTCCAAGGTCCCTTCCAACTTCATGATGATGATGATGATGATGATGATGATGATGATGATGAAGGGACTGGACAGCCATTTGTCTGAAATGGTATAGGGTTTCCTGACTGAGCAGGGGGTTGGACTAGATGACCTCCAAGGCCTCTTCCAACTTTATTATTACTGTTGTTGTTATTATTATTATTATCATTATTATTATTATTAAGAGATTGGACAGCCATTTGTCCGAAATGGTATAGGGTTTCCTGCCTGAGCAGGGGGTTGGACTAGATGACCTCCAAGCTCCCTTCCAACTTTACTATTATTATTATTGCTACTATTACTGTCCTTTTATCTTTTGATAGGTGTCCCTAAACTGGGATTTTTGCGAATGTTTACGCACGACTGCCGCCGGATTCGCTCCCGTCGTGCGGAATGAATCGATCAAATCGGCTGAGCCCGATCTCGTCTTTTATTTTATTTTATTTTTCTCTCTCTCTCTTCCTGGCAGACGAGTGGCTGAGACCGGTGACGAGGAAAGACAAGCAGGTCCTGGTGCATTGGGGTTATTATCCAGACAGGTAATGGTTCAATCCAGAGATTCGAAGACCTGTAGTCGTCAACTTACAACCGTCGGTTTTAGTGACCGTTCAGAGTTGCCGCGGCGCTGAAAAACAGGGACTTGGGACCGTTTTTCACGCGTCACGACCGTTGCATCGTCCCCCTGGGTCACGGGGTCGAAATTCAGCCATCTTTGGCAACTGACTCGTATTTGTGACGGTTGCCAACTCGTATTTATGATGGTCGCAGACCCGTATTTGTGACGGGTCATGGTTTGACGTCCTTCTGACGAGCAAAGTCTGGGGGCGAAGCCCGATTCGCTTAAACAGCCGCGCGTGACTAACTTCCACCCCTGCCGCGATTCGCTTAACGACGGCAAGAAAAGGGTCGTCAAATGGGGTCCCAGCTCACGTGGCCACGGAAAATGTTGGGCGCAGCGGGGATTGTCCGTCGGCGATTACCGGGTAACTTAACAAATAATAATTAAAAGGAAAAGGGGAAAAAAAGCTCAACGGGGCGGACTTCGTGGACCGCCAGACCTTTCCCTGCCATTGAGTGGCCAATTAATCGAATAATGTCTTGATTGAATTGATTTAGGATTTATTGATTTCTCGGTTTATTTGGCTGGTAGGTAGGTAGACCAGAGAGAGAGAGAGAGAGAGAAAGAGAGAAAGAAAGAGCGGTAGTTATAGGAATGCATGGATGGATGGATAGATACGTAGATAAATATAGAGATAGATGAATAGATATATAGAAGAGATAGATGATAAAGTTGGAATAGATGGAAAGACAGAGAGACAGACAGATAGATATTGATAGAAGTAGATAACATACATAGAAATAGATTTAGATAGAGATAGATGAGAGGGATAGATAGAAAGATAGAAATAGATGATAGAGAAAAAGAGAAGATGGATGGATAGATTAGGTTCATAGAGATGGGTGGATAGATAGATGATAGATAGATAGATAGATAGATAGATAGATAGATAGATAGATAGATAGATAGATAGATAGATAGATAGATAGATAGATGATAATAAAGTTGGAATAGATGGATAGACAGATAGATATTGATAGACGTAGATAACAGATAAATATACATAGAAATAGATTTAGATAGAGATAGATGAGAGGGATACATGGATAGATAGATAGATAGATAGATAGATAGATAGATAGATAGATAGATAGATAGATAGATAGATAGATAGATAGATAGATAGACATAGATAGACAGACAGATAGATGAAAGAAAGAAAGAAAAAGAAAGAAAGAAAGAAAGGAAAGAAAGAAAGAGATAGATGATAGAGATAGAGAAAAAGATGATGGATGGATAGATTAGGTTGATATGGATGGATGGATGGATAGATAGATGATATTAAAGTTGGAATAGATGGATAGACAGTCAGACATAGATATTGATAGAGGTAGATAACATAAATATACATAGAAATAGATTTAGATAGAGATAGATGAGAGGGATACATGGATAGATAGATGGATGGACGGACGGACAGATAGATATTGATAGATATTGATAGAGGTAGATACAAATAGATAAATATAGATAGAAATAGATTGAGATAGATAGATAGATAGATAGATAGATAGATAGATAGATAGATAGATAGATAGATAGATAGATAGATAGATGATAATAAAGTTGGAATAGATGGATATACAGATAGATATTGATAGATGTAGATAACAGATAAATATACATAGAAATAGATTTAGATAGAGATAGATGAGAGGGATACATGGATAGATAGATAGATAGATAGACATAGATAGACAGACAGATAGATAGATGAAAGAAAGGAAGAAAGAAAGAAAGGAAAGAGAAAGAAAGAGATAGATGATAGAGATAGAGAAAAAGATGATGGATGGATAGATTAGGTTGATATGGATGGATAGATAGATGATATTAAAGTTGGAATAGATGGGTAGACAGACAGACATAGATATTGATAGAGGTAGATAACAAATATACATAGAAATAGATTTAGATAGAGATAGATGAGAGGGATACATGGATGGATGGACGGACGGACGGACAGATAGATATTGATAGATATTGATAGAGGTAGATACAAATAGATAAATATAGATAGAAATAGATTGAGATAGATAGATAGATAGATAGATAGATAGATAGATAGATAGATAGAGATTGATAGTTGATAGATGTTGATAGAGGTAGATACAGATAAATACATATAGATAGAAATAGATTGAGATAGATGATAGAGGGATAGCTGGAGGGATAGATAGGTAGGTTAGAGAGAGAGAGATTGATTTTGCTTCTGACGTCTCTTGCCCTCCGTCCTATCCGAGCCCGCCTCTTTCCTTTTTTTCCCCACCGTCCAGCTACGACACCTGGGTTCAGGCGAGCGAAGTCGACGCCGAGATTGAAGACCCTCCGTTTCCCGAAAAGCCCTGGAAGGTGCGTGTTTCTGCTTTGCGTGGTGTCGGCATCGGCCGCGGAATCCGCGGCGTTTCAGGATACTCCCGTCTTGCCAGTTGAACAGCCGGCCGGGGTTTTGCGTAACGGCGCTGGCCCGGAAGGTCCCAAAACGGGGCAGAGTTCCCCGGACCAACGTCTCGCGTTGACGACGAACGTTCCCTCGACGTAGCCAGAGCGACTAATCGACTTGTTTTCGGTTCTGTTCTGTGTTTTTTTTTTAAATTTTTTAATTTTCATTTTAATCCCGAAATCGACGGCGATTCCCTCCTCGCAAATTCTCTCCCCCGCCTACTGTGACGCGGCCCGTTTGAGCCCCGAAAAACGATTCTCGGCTTTCTCGTCCCTCGGCTAGGTCCACGCCCGATGGGTCCTGGACATGGACGTCTTCAACGAGTGGATGAACGAGGAAGACTACGAGGTGGACGACGGCAAGAAGCCGGTCAGCTATCGGCAGCGGGTTTACTTGAGGAACGAAGAGGTGAGCCTTTTTGTTGTTGCTGTTGTTGTTTCTTGTGTGGGTTCCATTTTTGAGTCCCCCCCCCCCGTTAACGGCGCGTCAAATCTATTTTTTATTTTTATTTATTTTTATTTTTTTTATTTATTAAATTTATATACCGCCCTATCTCCCTTGCGGGACTCAGGGCGGTGAACAGGCGATACTAAAAACCACGAATAAATAAATAATTTCTGTTTTAAAATCGAATTGAATAATAGGCCTGTTCTAAAAACACACCCATACAAAACCCCCCACTGAAACACAATCCAAACTACGCCAGGCCGGCCGCACGGAA